CGACGCCTGTTAGCTGGGCTCCAGCACGCGTGCACGGCGGAATCCTGAGCGTGCACGGCCGGGCTTCTGCCCGTGCACAGCGCCGTCCAGGCGCGGAGTGCGGGTAGGGGCTCCCTCTGGACCCTGCTGGTGACCCAGGGCCGGTCCGGCGGCCAGAGCTACAGCTTTCCTGCTAGTGAGCCAGGACGTCAGGGGCTCACGGTTATGAGATGTATAGCCAAGTTTCCGAAGGAGCTGGGGGCCGGAAGCTGCAGTCCATCTTGCTTTTGGGATGGAATTGGCGCGCGTGAACAGCCGAGCAGAAAGGTGCCACGCCGGTGCCTCCCTCCTCATCCGCTGCCCGGCGGTGTGAGCTCTGTCTTCCCCGGTCGGGGCTCCTGTGCGCACTTCCTGAGGCAGCTCAGGTCGAGGGGCCTATGGGACAGAGAGGGAATCGGAGGACACCTGTAAACCACGCTCAGGTCTCACTGGGCGTCCGAATGTGTTTGTTATCTGTCAGGTCCAGTGTTTGACCCTAAAATCATTAGAAGCAGAAAATGCACCTGGCAGTGTGTACACAAATTGCCTCCAGTCATTTGATGCCCTTGGGATTCGGGACACCTGGTGGGACCCCTGAGCGTTTCCCCGTGGGTTGCAGAGCAGTTGCCTGGAACGCAGGGCCCCTGGGTCTGCCTCCCAGAACTCCAGGGGGCCCCGGAGACACCATTAAATCAAGGCCTCGATTTCCCTCCAGCCCTACTCCTGATGTCGCAGGGTGGAGTACCATGTTTCCACACCATCTGTTACTTTTGGGCAATGATTGTCCATTAGCAAAGTTTTGTGTGTGTGTGTGTGGTTCAAGACTTTTGGGAGAGTGAAAGCTACAGGCATTTCCCAGTGCCTGCGACCTTCAATTTCAGATACAATCCTGCAGAATAACATTATGAGGAGGCTGCTGTTCTTTTTGTTATTGATATCAATGAAGATACAGAGTAGCCCAGACATTGAACTTTATATTGTCCTGGCTCTTTGACCTAGAATGGATTTGTGGTCCCTGTGTGCATGTATTTTTAGTAAGCTGTCTGTAATCTCAGTTTGGTATGGTATTTATTGTATTTGGTTTAAAGTCTGCCGAATGATATGATGTGCCCACGTTATATTGATCTTTTAGAAGAAAATGTGAATAACTTCCTCACTAGTTGTGTTGCCCTCCTTCCAAGAAGGAGAAGCAGCTGAGCTGAACAGTGCTCTAGGCAGGGGGGCCAGGGCTCAGGAGGAGGTGGGACTGGACTTGAGCTGCCTATCTGCTGCCCACATGCTGTTTGACCTAAGCGATTCCCTTATCTGGCAGTGCCTGCAGGTGAATTGTAAAGGGGCCAAAGGTCCCCTGAACGACCCCCTTCCAGAGATACTGGAAAGTGAGCCCACATGGTTGAGAAAAGTTGGCCCATGTCCTAGCAGTGTGATTCTTGGTTATTATTAGGGAGGATGTGTCAGCAGATTAACTGGATGCATGTTGACATCTCGCTGATCATCCTCATGCTTGCATGTTTAATTACCCTCACTGTGGCCTGTGTGGCCATCAAAGAGACAGGAAGAAGCCACGAAACGTAAGGAAAGTTTACCGCTTATTCAGACCCAGCAAGCATCTGTTTGAAGTTCTAAGAAATCCCAATGAGAACAACAGTCATTGAATGATGACACATTCAATGCGATCTAGAACCATCCTTTAATTTGCTGGTAATTGCTGGGCTTCAGCCAAGACATTCTCAGTGCTCCAGCCTGGATCCCTGTCATGAGAAACACACCTTATGGTTTTTAACATCTTCAGACCCAAGAGAACTCCATTTTAGGCCCTCACCTGCCACAGAGGGTCCAAACAGCATGTGCCTCATTGTGAACAAGGCATGGAAACTAGCATCTGTCCCTCTGGGTCAGGAATTCGCTGAATCTTCTACAAGATCTATCTCCAAGGGGCATTGTTCATTCGGATGGGGGCTGGGCACTTAGGAGGCTGTCTGCTTTCAGGTAGCAGACTGTTGAATGCCGGAGGATTGGTAGATACTTTTGAAAAGAATTCGAATATTTTTTCCATGTCCCTAAGCGCTGATTGTCACACTGGAGACGATAGCACAGTTCTGCTCATTTCTGTGCTTCTCATGCCTCCTGAGGGGACACAGAGCGGTGGAGAGGGGGAGCCCTTCAGCCAAGCAGCCCTGGGGCCCTATGACCCGCACAGGTCTGATCTGCCAGGGATCAGGGGTTCCCGGGAGACCCTGGTGCGGGGTGTCATGTGTGGTTACTCGGGGGACCTGAGATGTTAGCACAGGTGGGCCTTTCCCACTCCTTTCTTCCATTTCCTGCACCCCTCGTTGCCACCAGGGCACCTCCAAGTGTGTCAGTGTGTATGTGCATACATGTGTGCGCGTACCTGTGCACACATGTAGACAGATGTTAAACAGTCTGTGCACCCCGCTTCTGGCCCCTCCACCTCCATCCAAACCCTCAGGCTCCAAGGAGGCTGCAGGTGCACCAGGAGATGGCTGAAGATCTCAAACCACAAACCTTGTCAGCACTTTCCAAGGTACCCAGCAGCCCTTTCCTGCTGCCATCTTCCTCCACCTTGCTCTCTCCTGTTGCCTGAGCCCTATTTTTAATCTCTTTGGATTCATATCCCATCATCCTAAAGCAGTTCAACAAATGCTCTTTTCTTTCAAAACCCTTCTCCTAACTGTCCTCACTTCCCTGGGAAGCCTCATCCTACCACAGCGAGGACCCGGGCCCCCGTTTCCTTGGGCCTCAGTTCTTTGTGCCCTGATAAAGAATTTGATCAAGACACATGGCCATGCAGATGTCTGAGTAGAGTTTACTGTAAAGAGACACAGAGAGAGCTACATCTTCGAGCGAGAAGGCAGGCGAGTTTGGACACCTTTTATACACACAGAAGCCAGTGGCCGTGTGCCTGTCACTCTTCCGCTCAGGGGTTTCTTAGGGATGTTGGCATCTCAAACTGCTTTCCTTGATCCTTTCTGTTAGTCAGTTCCCATGGGGGCCTTGATCCTGTAGGAGTCACAGTTCTGTCTCTGCCCAAGGAGGGAGGTCTTTGAAGAATGCCCCCTTTCCTGAAATATCAGGAAAGGGTATTGGCTCTGTGCCTTGTGGTCAGATATGGGGAGGGTTGCATACAATGGGTCACCGTGCTCTGAGACCTAACCAACTCTGTGGGCGGGTCACACCTTGAAGCCTTTATTTCCTCACTTAATATAGCTGGCAAAGTGTGCTGCCTCAGAATCCTCCTCTGTCCCTGCAAATGTCTAACTTCCACCTTGCACACTTACCGGTGCAGGCTGCACTCTGCTTGCCTTTGTTTTTTTCCCAGTACCGGAAATTGAACTCAGGACCTTGCACTTGCCAAGCAGGCATGGTGCCACTGAGCTAAATCCCTGGCCTGCAATCCAGGGCCTCCCAATCCCTGGCCAGGTGCTCACATCTGTGTTGCAGCCCAGTCGGAAGTCTCAACCTTGAGCCTGGCTTCAGGGCCCTGCCCCTCTGTGCCCGCTAATGAAACCATTCATGCTCTCTGGAGCTCCTGACATTTGCTCAACCAATTCTTGGCTTATTTCCCTCCTTGGGCTCTTCTTGCGTCTGACTACAATGTTCTTCTTTTCTTGAAACCTCCAATCAAAGTCTACATTTAAAAAGAGCCCAGCGAAGCTCTCTTGTAAACCTTGTTAGGCATAACAGACAACCCTGACACGTGTATTTCTGTATTTCCCGAACTGCTAAAACACTTTCTGCTAACGTGAACTAACCAGTCATGTATCAGCAGCCTTTTGGACTGATGA